CCCTCCCCCCCCCCCACAAGCCCAAGCACCCCCGGGAAAAAAAAAAAAAAAAAAAAAAAACTTTAAAAAAGGTCCAGGTTCTCTTCATCTGTAAAATGAAGGTAATCAGAGGGTTTTATAATAACTAAGTAAGAGTACATCTTAAGAGGGCCATCAGGTGGCTTGGTGGTTAAGGGTGCTGGACTCCCACATGGTCGACCACAGTTTGAGTCCCAGACCTGGAGGTTTGCTTTCTCTCTCTCTCTCTCTCTCTCTCTCTCTCTCTGATCCTCTCTGGTCAAATTGAAAAACAAACAAAGATAAATAAAGTTAAATAAAATCATTCTTTAAAAGAAAGAATGTGTCTTGGGACCAGCCAGTGTCATGGTGGTCAAGGCACAGCTGGATCCCATATGGGCTGACTACAATGGTTCAAGTTCCAGACCCAGTGGCTAAAAAACCATGCTGGGCCTATGCGCATGCCCAAAATCCCTAGTGGAGACTGTAGGAGAAGGGATTGTGGTACAGCCACTTGCCAGGGGATGCTTGCTTTCTTTCTTTCTCTTCCCCTACCCCAAGCGTAGGTGCTTATAGCACATTAAAGAAAGAAAAAAATGCATCTTAAGAACTAAACTGAAATGGAAGTGGAAACTTTGGCATACTGAAGAGTATCTTTAAAACCTGTTAACACTCCTTCCCTTCCAAGACTTCCCCCTTGGCCTCCCTTGGCTTTTCCTCAGCCTTCGATGGGGGGAGCTCTGACGTGGGGCCAGGGCACGGCACCTCCCTAACACTGCTCTCAGGCAGTAAGCAGGGCCTCCTGTGAGGATGGCAGTGGCCACACAGCCTGCTCCTCGCCAGGCTCTGTCCAGTCCTCCTCTGCCAGCAACACCTCCTTGATCTGCACAGGGACTTCAAATGGAAATCACATATGAGTTTATTTTGGTGCAAAAATATGGAATCCAGGGGCCAGCAGGAGGCGTGGTGGATAAGGCACTGGACTCCCACATGACCAAACATGGTTCAAGTCCCATACCTGGCAGATCGAAGCACACTGGGTGCGTGTGTATGCCCACCCAAAATCCTAGGAGGAGAAGGGATTGTGGTGTGACCGTCCTCACCCAGGGGTGATTCCTCACTTTCTCTCTCTCTTTCTCTCTCTAGGGAACACGTGCACCCTATGGCAAAAACCTTTAAAAAAAATTGAAATCCATGCATAGGGTTTTGTTTTCTTTTCTTTTCTTTTTTTTTTAGAATTATTTATTTAATTTTTTAATTAATTCATCCATTTATTATTTTAATTCGACCAAAGAAAGAGAGAGAGGAGGGGAAAAAGCAAGCCACCAGGTCCAGGACTTGAACCGTGGTCGGCCATGTGGGAATGTCCAGTGCCTTAACCACCATAGAGAGAGACAGAGAGACAGAAAGTGAGAAATCACCCCCCGAGGGGGGGAGATGGCCACACCGCAATCCCTTCTCCTCCGTTCTCTCTGGATTTCATGCATGCACTCGCGCCTGGAGTGAGTTTTAAGCCACCAGGTCTGGGACGCGAACCGCAGTTCACTACGTGGGAGTCCTGCGACATAGCCATTACGCTAACTGCTGGTCCCCATGCATAGAGTTTTGATAATATGCATGTCCCCACGAACTCCTGAAAGACCTTACCGCCTCTCCTCCTTCTGGTGGTCCTTTGGATGACTGAATGTGAGAAATGCCACCACCAGAGATTTCACACTGAAGGCAGCCAGTTTCCAGCTAGCTCTCCCATGGGCCGTGGCCGCACCTCTCCTCAACCTCAGCGAGAGCTCCTGGACGTTTTCTTTGCCTCAGATGCTTACACGGCAGGAGGGGAGGGCCTGGCCCAGGCGCGAGCCCCGCCCAGGCAGAGAAGGGCCCAGACTTCCGCTGCGCAGTATGGCGATGTGTGCAGAACTTCACAGGAACCTTCCTAGGGGCTGGCTCCTAGGGGCTGGCTCATGGCCTACTGGCTAAGAGAGGCGGATCCCACATAGCCGACTGCAGTTCAGATCTTGGCCCGACAGCCTGGAAAATATGCCAGGTGCATGTACGTGTGTGCCCCAAATTCCAACAGGATGGAAAAATGGAGAAGGGATTGTGGCCTGACCACATTCCACTGGCGGTTGCTTTTTCCCTTGGTTTCTTTCTGGCAAGCGCATATGCCCTCTGGCAGCTGGGGGGGGAAGCGGGGGAGAACCTTCAGAGGGCAGCCCCATAATGCAGTGGTTATGGGAGCTGGTCCCACATGGCCAACTGTGGTTCAAATCCTAGACCTGACGGCTTAAAAATACTGAGGGTGAGGGTGAGGGTGTGTGCACGTGCACACCTCAAATCCCCACAGGTGGAGAAATGGAGGAGGTGAGACTGACATGACCAGGCCCAGCAAGGGGGCACTTTCTCCTCTATGTTTGTTTCTGTCTTTCTCTAGCAAGTGCAGTGCCCTCTGGTATAAAAAAAAAGGGGGGGGGGAGAAAAAGAAAAAAAAGACCACCTTCCATTGTCCACTAAATTAACTGCCAATAATCTTCTGTCATAAATATTACAGTTTCACATTTTTTTTGAGAGATTTTTGCTATAGGACGCCGGAGCTCACCAGAGAGACAGAGAAAGCGAGAACTCACCTCCCAGGGGGATGGCCAAGCCTTCTCCTCCATTCCCCTCTTGGGGCTTTGGGCACACATGCACACATGCCTGGCATGAGTTTCATACCACTGGATCCAGAAAACCCCAGTTTCTGAAACTGTTGTCGGCCACATGGGAATGCAGTGGCTTAACACTATGCCACCTGCTGGGTCCACTTCCTTGTTTTTGAATGCCAGAGGGAGCACCCACGGGCATGTGCATGGGTACACGAAGGGGTGTGAAGGGGGCCTGGCCTCACTGTACTCTTTTTCCTCCTAGCTGTCATCCTGTCAGAAAGGGGTGTAAGCTGCTGGGGCTAGGATTCAAACCCCGGTCGTACTATGTGGGATTGACTTCCTTTGCATGGTGCTTATACGCTGCACTACGGGGTCGGCTCCCACTACACTTATGCTTTCCTTATTCTATGGTCTCCGTGGGACATAAACTACTTCACAGCAAAATCGAACTTCACGCATCCCACAGATAATTGGGCCGGCTGGTGGTGTGGTGGTGAAGGTGGGTGGATCCCACATGGCCAGCTGTCTGGTTCCAGTTTCAGACCTGGCCTGAAAACACCACACTGGACACGTGCACATGTGGCCAGAATCCTGAGAGGAGGCCGAAATGGAGGAGGAGGGATTGCGGGCATGCTGATCCCCCTGGGGGAGGGTGCTTTCTCACCCTCCTCCCCCATCTCTCTCTCTCTCTCTCTGGCAAGCACATATACCTCCTGGCAAAAACCAAACACATACACGTTCTTGTGCACACATGCACTCACACACACACACATTTATTGAGTAGTTCCTCTGAGCCAGGCATTGTTCTAGATATCTGAGCATCAGTGAACAACTCAAACAAAAATCCTGCCCCCAGGGAGCT